AAATCCAGCAGCTCCTGCGGGGGTAGCACTACATTAAGATAGACCCTCTGTCAGGTTTTTATTGCTGTCTGTACCTCCACTGGGGAGACTCATCCTCACTATTAGTTTTGGTGACCATTGTCTCTGATACAGTAAGCAATGAGAAATTTGGAGTAATATGTTGATACAGAAACAGGAGATGAGAGAAAATCTTCCAATGGAAAAAACCTATTTGGATGACAACTGTAACAGAGAAGATTTTATTCTTGCATTGACTCTAACTTCCTATGTGCCTCTGTGGTAGGAATTGAAGATAAATGTCCCAGATGGGTAACAGACAGCAAAAAAAAAAAACCTGTTGTGGTTTTAACTGTTACCTAGTTTCTCTGAAACAAACAAACAAAACAAATGTTGGAATTACATGCCCTTTAAGAGTTCAATATTGCTTAAAGTGATTTTATTACATGTTATATTGATTTTATTATAATTTTTTTTTGCTGATTAAAAATAGAATTTTACCTTATATAAACTGGAATAATACATTATGTATTTTATCGTGTGGTGAATATGACAATAATGTCCAGAACTCCCTTCTCCCATTGTAGTTAAAGCTGTTCTTTGCCCTGTTTGAAAAAATAAATAAATAAAAGACAGCAGCTACAAATACTTTTAATAAAAGAACACTCACCTGTCCAGGGGCCGAGCACTATCCTCACCTGAACTGGTTCTTTGCCGGTCTTTGGGTCCCTGGGGCCAGCAAGTTTGTTTTTTTTTAATCTGAATGGGCAGAAAATCACAATTATCCCATTAAGGGGTGCTGCCCTATAACACCATAAGGTACCAAAAAGTATTATGAATAACTTGCACCTCAAAAAGCATAGGAAAACAATACAAACACTGGTGTACCAAAAAAAGTACAATAATAAAAATCAAACTACCAGTGGTACAAGGCTCCAACACAGTGGATTATAAAATAAAAAACTATGCCTAACCAGAATCCAATGTCACCTAAAGCAGATACTTGTGAATATTCCCTTAGAAATTGAATGAAGTGGCCGTTGATGAATTATCTATACAGCAATCATTTATTAAACTTAATAGGACAACCTCTATTTCGGTAAGTATCTTGATACAAGGGTAATATGGAATTAACCAGTTTCATCCAGAAGCGAACTGATGGAGGTTTAGGCTTCTTCCAATGAAGGGTAATGGCTTTTCTGGCATAAATGAGTAGTAGACTTAATAGAATTCTCGAAGCCAGCTTAGGGGACAAATTTTTGGCTAGGCCTAGTAGACACTGTCTGGGAGATAAAGCCATATGAGTATGCAATATAGAAACAATAACATCAAGAACCCATTGCCAGTATGAGACTATTACAGGGCATGTCCAAAATACATCCGTCCATCCTGGAAACAGATCTCTGTAGAGAGCAGACCGCGGAGCAGCAACTGTGGTTTCATTACCAAAAGACAAAAAATGTTTTGGGATGAAAGTTGGTTAAAGTACAATGATATAAAACAAGTACAGGATCACCACTAAGTAGGGTGGAGCCATGCACACCCGCTACCACGCATGCGCAACCGGCCGGTGGCCATTTTGGATGCTGGAAAAATTTGACTTTTTGGTTTTACATGCTCATCTATGTCCACTTTCATGTGAGTGTGTAAACCATATTTTAAATAAACATTGTTTTATTGGTTTTACACTATGTGGAGCATTCTTCTCTTGCATGTCTCCTAATACATATTTGGTTCCTAACTGGAGTGGTTTAGCTACCTTATTAGGGATCATTACTTGGAGGATCTTTGGCTTTTCTCCCTTGGGGGTCCAAGGAGGGTCCGGATTTCCAACCTTCTGGGTTACCATACAACAAAGCGCAATTGACCACTCTTAACAGGGGGTCACATCTCCCTGGTAAGCCTTTAAGTGAGTGGGTGGTGACACATCAGCTATTCCTAAAATCCTTGGATTTTTCCTGTTTCATCACGGTCTTTGGGGACTTTCTTTATTTTGACAACTCTAGACTGACATTTCTTTAAATTTTTTTTATTACAATTTTGTTTCACTAATTGTTTGGTATTCTGTTAATACCAAAGGATAACTTTTGGTTGATTGCCATGGCCAGAAGTGGGAGCAGGTACCTGTCAAAACCAGGTACCTGCTCCCCCCCCCCCCCCCAAAAAAGTGCCAAAAAATGGAAGAGGAATGGTGAATTTCCACTTTATTAAAGGAGAAGTACAGCCAAAGCTGGCTGTACTTATCCTGTGGATCAGAGAAGTGCAGTTTGTTCTGCACTCCTGTGACCCTTTTTTTAGCTGACAGTGGGCTGAAACACGCTGTTGGCTGACATCACTCAGCCAGTCCAGGCCGGGGAAAGATCCCAACTTTGAATTCGGAATCCACCCAGAAGCCTGAGCCAGCAAGCCACTCCCTCTCCCTTCATAGTCCAGCTCTCCAGTGAGCATGGGGGAGGGGGGGCAGAGCAGAGACCAGTGACTGCCAGTCACCGCTCTCTGCTCACAGTGGCAGTGAGAACTCAGTGATCACATGACCACTGATCACCCTTGGAGTTGGAGGGGGATATATGCAACTTTGGACTGATGCTGCATCCACCTAGGCTGGTATAATTTAAAAAGAAAAACCCTTAGTTATGATAACTGCCCAATTACAGAAGAGAACATATATCTTTGATATTCTCTTCTAATCAGCCAATGTATGGGTCCTTCCAGTTTAAAAGGATTATAAATATCTAACTTGATATCAAATGGTTGAAGTGTAACATATGGTTATATGAAACTTTTGTGTGTACATGATCTGCCCATTTAGAATAGTTACCGGATGTCTTTATCTGTCAGCTAACCTAAACTGTGCATTAATAAATCTACAGTATAAACTTGGTTAGTTTTAGCTGCTGGTAATTAAACCAGCCATTTAAAAATATAAGAACTGCCATTACCAACCTTCTTGTAAAAATGCAAGTTGTCTGGCTATCTAAGTGCTTTCTGAGTAACTAACCTGAAAATAAAATATGCGGCAAGTGAACTCAGAGTTCCTGATCTGCGTAGTCTTTTTGAGTCAGCAAAGTGCTTTCAAGATGTCCAGCAAGCTTCAATACTTTTATTTTGGTCTTTTTCTGAATCAGACAAAAATTTACCAGTGTATGGCTAGCTATAGTTACAGACCTAGGACAAGTATACAGCTCACAAAAATAAGAATGAATATCAAAATTCCTTTTCTGAAGTGTATGGAAGCAAAATAGCCAGCTTGACATTTAGCCAAATAGCATTTTTAGAAGGACAGGTTGGCAATGGCAGTTTTCTCGTTTCCCTCATAATGAGTTTTCTTAAAGGGACTGTTAATGGCCATGAAACTGAACCCTATATTTCTACGAGCTAGGTGTTTTAGGTTACATCATTGATCAAGGAATGTTTTCATCACTCTATTAAATTGCCCTGGAGTGTGATCATTTTATCACTTAAGTATATCCAGTGGCTGAGAGTAACTCTGAGCAAGTAAGGTGTCTGGAGCAGTGACATATCTAGCTGGTGTTTATGGCTTGACTTTTAGGTAATAAGCCTCATGTTATGCCAAAAGTGTACAGTTTAGCTTCAGCCATTGTCAGGCTTGTTCGATGTGATCCAGACTCTATTACATTATTAAGTTACAAAACTTCTGTAACTGTATCACAAGGGATTGTAGAACAGTATCACTTGTTTTTCATCCTGCGCATTATACAGTGCAAATAGGAAATAGAGTATTATTATTGGCACCAAAGAACGACAGGCCTTGTTTTCTGCATGTACACAAATTGTTTCCATGTTTAATTAGCCTCTGAGAGGATTCTGTTTCTTTCCTCTCCGCTGGGACAATAGAATAACCTTAGGTTTGCACTTTGTAACCATAAATATACCAAGGTAATTCAATCTGTTCTCACTGGGAAAATTACAAATGTCTATGTTTTTATTTCTCAGAAATAAATGTAAATGATTGGAGCTGTCCAATTTTAAGAAATAAACTAATGTTGCAATACATTTACTTTATACTGAGATCACTTTAATCAAAACCATGATTAATACACAATAAATTGACTTGATATTTGTAAAAAAAAAAAAAGCATACATGGCGTAATATGGCTTATATTCAGGAATTATGTAACGATTATGATGGCTAATCAAAACATGTAGAAATCACTGTTCTACTGCATAAAGTAAATGAAGTACATCTTCTTCACCTACAGATAAGTTGAAATTGGCACTTTTAAAATCTAGAAATACCAGTTTGTACACTAAAACGATACAGTATATCTGCATAAAGTTGCCAACATAGACACTTGTACAGAGGAAGAAAGAAAACAGAATAATGTTTTTCCTATAAAACCTTTAAAAAAAATATTGCTTTTAGTTTAGTGGGGGGAGAAAGTACAATGATCATATACCATATTTTTCGCTCCATAAGACACACCTGACCATAAGATGTACCTAGATTTTAGAGGAGGAAAACAAGAAAAAAAAAATTCTGAACCAATGGACTGCAGACATAGTACAGGAAATGACCAGAGACTGCAGGCATAGTACAGGAGATAACCAGAGACTGCAGACATGGTACAGGAGATGACCAGAAACTGCAGACATACTACACATGACTAGAGACTGCGGACATACTACAGGAGATGACCAGAGACTGCAGACATACTACAGGAGATGACCAGAGACTGCGGACATATTACAGGAGATGACCAGAGACTGCGGACATACTACAGGAGATGACCAGAGACTGCAAACATACTACAGGAGATGACCAGAGACTGCAGACATACTACAGGAGATGACCAAAGACTGAGGACATACTACAGGAGATGACCAGAGACTGTGGACATAGTACAGGAGATGACCAGAGACTGAGGACATACTACATGAGATGACCAGAGACTGCGGACATACTACAGGAGATGACCAGAGACTGCAGACGCAGTACAGGAGATGACCAGAGACTGAGGACATACTACAGGAGATGACCAGAGACTGCGGACACAGTACAGGAGATGACCAGAGACTGCAGACATAGTACAGGAGATGACCAGAGACTGTGGACACAGTACAGGAGATGGCCAGAGACTGTGGACATAGTACAGGAGATGACCAGAGACTGCGGACATACAGTCAGGTCCATAAATATTGGGACATCAACACAATTCTAACATTTTTGGCTCTATACACCACCACATTGGATTTGAAATGAAACGAACAAGATGTGCTTTAACTGCAGACTGTCAGCTTTAATTTGAGGGTATTTACATCCAAATCAGGTGAACGGTGTAGGAATTGCAACAGTTTGCATATGTGCCTCCCACGTGTTAACGGACCAAAAGTAATGGGACAATTGGCTTCTCAGCTGTTCCATGGCCAGGTGTGTGTTATTCCCTCAGTATCCCAATTACAATGAGCAGATAAAAGGTCCAGAGTTCATTTCAAGTGTGCTATTTGCATTTGGAATCTGTTGCTGTCAACTCTCAAGATGAGATCCAAAGAGCTGTCACTATCAGTGAAGCAAGCCATCATTAGGCTGAAAAAACAAAACAAACTCATCAGAGAGATAGCAAAAACATTAGGCGTGGCCAAAACAACAGTTTGGAACATTCTTAAAAAGAAGGAACGCACCGGTGAGCTCAGCAACACCAAAAGACCCGGAAGACCACGGAAAACAACTGTGGTGGATGACCAAAGAATTCTTTCCCTGGTGAAGAAAACACCCTTCACAACAGTTGGCCAGATCAAAAACACTCTCCAGGAGGTAGGTATATGTGTGTCAAAGTCAACAATCAAGAGAAGACTTCACCAGAGTGAATACTGAGGGTTCACCACAAGATGTAAACCATTGGTGAGCCTCAAAAACAGGAAGGCCAGATTAGAGTTTGCCAAACAACATCTAAAAAAGCCTTCACAGTTCTGGAACAACATCCTATGGACAGATGAGACCGAGATCAACTTGTACCAGAGTGATGGGAAGAGAAGAGTATGGAGAAGGAGAAAAGGAACTGCTCATGATCCTAAGCATACCACCTCATCAGTGAAGCATGGTGGTGGTAGTGTCATGGCGTGGGCATGTATGGCTGCCAAAGGAACTGGTTCTCTTGTATTTATTGATGATGTGACTGCTGACAAAAGCAGCAGGATGAATTCTGAAGTGTGTCGGGCAATATTATCTGCTCATATTCAGCCAAATGCTTCAGAACTCATTGGACGCCGCGTCATAGTGCAGATGGACAATGACCCAAAGCATACTGCAAAAGCAACCAAAGAGTTTTTTAAGGGAAAGAAGTGGAATGTTATGCAATGGCCAAGTCAATCACCTGACCTGAATCCGATTGAGCATGCATTTCACTTGCTGAAGACAAAACTGAAGGGAAAATGCCCCAAGAACAAGCAGGAACTGAAGACAGTTGCAGTAGAGGCCTGGCAGAGCATCACCAGGGATGAAACCCAGCATCTGGTGATGTCTATGCGTTCCAGACTTCAGGCTGTAATTGACTGCAAAGGATTTGCAACCAAGTATTAAAAAGTGAAAGTTTGATTTATGATTATTATTCTGTCCCATTACTTTTGGTCCCTTACAAGTGGGAAGCACATATGCAAACGGTTGTAATTCCTACACCGTTCACCTGATTTGGATGTAAATACCCTCAAATTAAAGCTGACAGTCTGCAGTTAAAGCACATCTTGTTCGTTTCATTTCAAATCCATTGTGGTGGTGTATAGAGCCAAAAATGTTAGAATTGTGTCGATGTCCCAATATTTATGGACCTGACTGTAGTACAGGAGATGACCAGAGACTGCAGACATAGTACAGGAGATGACCAGAGACTGCGGGCATACTACAGGAGATGACCAGAGACTGCGGACACAGCACAGGAGATGACCAGAGACTGTGAACATACTACAAGAGATGACCAGAAACTGCGAACATAGTACAGGTGATGACCAGAGACTGCAGACATACTACAGGAGATGACCAGAGACTGCGGACACAGTACAGGAGATGACCAGAGACTGAGGACATACTACAGGAGATGACCAGAGACTGCAGACATACGACAGGAGATGATCAGAGACTGCGGACATACTACAGTACAGGAGACTGCGGACATAGTACAGGAGTACAGAAGATGACCAGAGACTGCGAACATAGTACAGGAGATGACCAGAGATTGCGGACATAGTACAGGAGATGACCAGAGACTGTGGACACAGTACAGAAGATGACCAGAGATTGCGGACATACTACAGGAGATGATCAGAGACTGCGGACATACTACAGGAGATGACCAGAGACTGCTGACATACTACAGGAGATGACCAGAGACTGCGGACATAGTACAGGAGATGACCAGAGACTGCGGACATAGTACAGGAGATGACCAGAGACTGCAGACATAGTACAGGAGATGACCAGAGACTGCGGACATACTACAGGAGATGACCAGAGACTGCGGACACAGCACAGGAGATGACCAGAGACTGCAGACACAGTACAGGAGATGACCAGAGACTGAGGACATACTACAGGAGATGACCAGAGACTGCAGACACAGTACAGGAGATGACCAGAGACTGAGGACATACTACAGGAGATGACCAGAGACTGCAGACAAACGACAGATGATCAGAGACTGCGGACATACTGCAGTACAGGAGACTGCGGACATAGTACAGGAGTACAGGAGATGACCAGAGACTGCGGACACAGTACAGGAGATGACCAGAGATTGCAGACATACTACAGGAGATGATCAGAGACTGCGGACACAGTACAGGAGATGACTAGAGATTGCGGACATACTACAGGAGATGACCAGAGACTGAGGACATAGTACAGGAGTTGACCAGGGACTGCTGACCTTTTGGGAGTGGGGGGGGGGCTGGTACCCGAATTTGACAGGTACCGCTCCCACTTCCACAGAGTTGTTCTTCCTCCTAGTCTTGTAGGACTACAGGGGCCATTCACAAAGCACAGAGACTGAGGACATACTACAGGAGATGACCAGAGACTGCAGACATACAGTTGTGGCCAAAATTATTCAACCCCCAATGCTGTAAAGGGGTTTAGGGACTATAGTGTACATTTGGAATTGTATTCAGAATCAAATCCTACAAGGACGTTGTAATACCAAATGCAACTAAAATGACATCAATTGTTTATGTAATACAGTAGTAAATGGTTCTTATGTGGTTTCTTCATTGCCACAATTATTCAACCCCTTAAAGACTACCACTCTGAAGAACAGAGGTTCATACAGGTGCTTTCCATCAGGTATTGAAAACACCTGTGGATGTCACCGAGCAGCAATCAAGCATAATAAGCACCAATTAGGCAGCTTTAAAATGACTGTGATACTCAGCTCCTTCTAGACATTTACTGGTGTGGTTACAAACATGGTGAAGGCAAGAGAATGGTCCAGGAAGACAAGAGAAGAGGTGATTTCTCTTCACAGGAAGGGCAATGGCTATAAGAAGATTGCAAAGATGTTAAACATACCAAGAGACACCTTAGGAAGCATCATTCGCAAATTCAAGGCAAAGGGCACTGTTGAAACGCTACCTGGTCGTGGCAGAAAGAAGATGCTGACTTCGACTGCTGTGCGCTACCTGAAGCGTAGAGTGGAGAGAAGTCCCCGTGTGACTGCTGAGGAACTGAGAAAAGATTTGTCAGATGTGGGTACAGAAGTTTCAGCCCAGACAATAAGACGCACACTGCGTAATGAAGGCCTCCGTGCCAGAACTCCCAGGCGTACCCCCTTGCTGTCTCCAAAGAATAAGAAGAGTCGACTGCAGTATGCCAAAAGCCATGTGGACAAACCACAAAAGTTGTGGGATAGTGTTCTGTGGACTGATGAAACAAAATTAGAACTGTTTGGGCCCATGGATCAACGCTATGTTTGGAGGAGGAAGAACAAGGCCTATGATGAAAAGAACACCTTGCCTACTGTGAAGCATGGTGGAGGGTCAATCATGCTTTGGGGCTGTTTTGCTTCTGCAGGTACAGGGAAGCTTCAGCGTGTGCAAGGTACCATGAATTCTCTTCAGTACCAGGAGATATTGGATGGAAACGTGATGCAGTCCGTCACACACCTGAGGCTTGGGAGACGTTGGACCTTTCAACAGGACAATGATCCCAAGCATACCTCCAAGTCCACTAGAGCATGGTTGCAGAGGAAAGGCTGGAACATTTTGGAGTGGCCATCGCAGTCACCAGACTTAAATCCGATTGAGAACCTCTGGTGGGACTTAAAGAAAGCAGTTGCAGTGCGCAAGCCTAAGAATGTGACTGAACTGGAGGCCTTTGCCCATGAAGAATGGGCGAAGATACCCGTAGATCGCTGCAAGACACTTGTGTCAAGCTATGCTTCACGTTTAAAAGCTGTTATAACTGTAAAAGGATGCTGTACTAAGTACTAGATTGAATGTCACTTGGGGTTGAATAAAACTGATAATGCTGTGAGCACAGAAAAGACATTTGTGGTTATTTCATTATAACTGTTATGTTTATATTTGTCTGACCTACAAGTGCCTCTTTAATGTAAATGTAAGCAAGATGACTGAATGATCAAAAGCAATGTCAAACTGGCCAAAACACTCAATTTCAGTGGGGGTTGAATAATTTTGGCCACAACTGTACGACAGGAGATGATCAGAGACTGCGGACATACTGCAGTACAGGAGACTGAGGACATAGTACAGGAGTACAGGAGATGACCAGAGACTGCGAACATAGTACAGGAGTACAGGAGATGACCAGAGACTGCGAACATAGTACAGGAGATGACCAGAGACTGCGGACACAGTACAGGAGATGACCAGAGATTGCAGACATACTACAGGAGATGATCAGAGACTGCGGACATACTACAGGAGATGACCAGAGACTGCTGACATACTACGAGATGACCAGAGACTGCGGACATAGTACAGGAGATGACCAGAGACTGCGGACATAGTACAGGAGATGACCAGAGACTGCAGACATAGTACAGGAGATGACCAGAGACTGCAGACATAGTACAGGAGATGACCAGAGACTGCGGACATACTACAGGAGATGACCAGAGACTGCGGACACAGCACAGGAGATGACCAGAGACTGCGAACATACTACAAGAGATGACCAGAAACTGCGGACATAGTACAGGTGATGACCAGAGACTGCAGACATAGTACAGGAGATGACCAGAGACTGCGGACACAGTACAGGAGATGACCAGAGACTGAGGACATACTACAGGAGATGACCAGAGACTGCAGACACAGTACAGGAGATGACCAGAGACTGAGGACATACTACAGGAGATGACCAGAGACTGCAGGCATACGACAGGAGATGATCAGAGACTGCGGACACAGTACAGGAGATGACCAGAGATTGCAGACATACTACAGGAGATGATCAGAGACTGCGGACACAGTACAGGAGATGACCAGAGACTGCAGACATAGTACAGGAGATGACTAGAGATTGCGGACATACTACAGGAGATGATCAGAGACTGCTGACATACTACAGGAGATGACCAGAGACTGAGGACATAGTACAGGAGTTGACCAGGGACTGCTGACCTTTGGGGAGTGGGGGGGGAGCTGGTACCCAAATTTGACAGGTACCCGCTCCCACTTCCGCAGAGTTGTTCTTCCTCCTAGTCTTGTAGGACTACAGGGCCATTTACAAAGCACAGAGACTGAGGACATACTACAGGAGATGACCAGAGACTGCAGACATACGACAGGAGATGATCAGAGACTGCGGACATACTGCAGTACAGGAGACTGAGGACATAGTACAGGAGTACAGGAGATGACCAGAGACTGCGAACATAGTACAGGAGTACAGGAGATGACCAGAGACTGCGAACATAGTACAGGAGATGACCAGAGACTGCGGACACAGTACAGGAGATGACCAGAGATTGCGGACATACTACAGGAGATGATCAGAGACTGCGGACACAGTACAGGAGATGACCAGAGACTGCAGACATAGTACAGGAGATGACCAGAGACTGCGGACATACTACAGGAGATGACCAGAGACTGAGGACATAGTACAGGAGATGACTAGAGATTGCGGACATACTACAGGAGATGATCAGGGACTGCAGACATACTACAGGAGATGATCAGAGACTGCTGACATACTACAGGAGATGACCAGAGACTGAGGACATAGTACAGGAGTTGACCAGGGACTGCTGACCTTTGGGGAGTGGGGGGGGGGGGGGGGCTGGTACCCGAATTTGACATGTACCCGCTCCCACTTCCGCAGAGTTGTTCTTCCTCCTAGTCTTGTAGGACATGTGACAGGTCCCAGAAGACTACAGGGCCATTCACAAAGCACAGCGCTTCTCGTGCATGCGCAGTGGGCACCCGGCTGTGTGCCCACACTGAAGATGCCAGTGCGAGGGAGAGAAGATGGCCAGTGACAGCAGGACACTGCTGGTCCGAGGAACAGGTAGGACTGAGGAGTGGGTTCTTCTGCACAGTAGAGCCGAGCGGCCGGCCTGGTATTCTAACACGGCGGTGGTGGGAATACTGGGCCGGCCGCTCCATAATCGCTCCATAAGACGCACAGACATTTTCCCCCATATTTTGGGGGGGGGGGGGAGTGCATTTTATGGAGTGAAAAATACGGTAGATGTTAAAAACCACATAGGAGCTCTATCCACTCCTACCATCTATATTTGGCATATTACCCTCAATCCGGCCTTACACCTTGAAACCTGACAGTTGGTGAAATCTTCTAGTTCAGGGGTTGGCAACTGTTGGTGAACTACAAGTCCCATCATGCCTCTGCCTTTGGGAGTCATGCTTGTAACTGTCAGTTTTGCAATGCCTCATGGGACTTGTAGTTCTACAACAGCTGGAGGGCCACAGTTGCCCACCCTTGCTATAGTTGATTGGGCTAGTAGGCAGTGTTAATTTTGACATCAAATTTCAATTTAGTTTTATCCATACTGTAGTCTATTGACTAAAATGCCATTTTTGACATTTGACATTTGACATTTTTGTCTCAGTCATGTTTTAGTCATCTGAATTGTTTTAGTTTTAGTCATATTTTAGTCAACTAAAATCTACAGCATCAAAAACAAAAAAAAATGTTGCCTTTGACAAACAGAAGTACAACTTTAAAAATATAAAAAAACAAACAAACTGTAAACTCTATTGGCTGTAATGCTATTTGCACATATTACCTGTATATAAAAACTTGAACAGTTTTCTGTTAATAATGAAACACATATCAAGTAACATCTTTATAAATAAAACCAAGTTTTGTAAACCAACAAGAATATTGCTTTTTTGACCAACTGTAATTCTGACATCAAATTTCGATATAGTTTTAGTCATAGTCTTTTGACTAAAATGTCATTTTAGATTTAGTCGTATTTTAGTCATCTGAATTGAAACTGATTTTTATTTTCATTTAATTTTTGTCACTGAAAACATGCAGCTAACGAAAACTATGATGAAAATATTTTCTGTGATGAAATTAACACTGCTGGTAGATGATAG